TCCAGAGTCACCACCCCCACGACCAGCTCCCCCAGAGCCCACACCTCCAGAGTCACCACCCCCAACAGCACCGGGGTCCATAGCTACAGGCTGCATAGTAGGCGAAGACGACCGAGGCAGAAAACCAGGAGGTGTCTCCAAGCGCGGTGAGCGACGAGAGACCGTTGTGTCGTAAGCAGCAGGGTCACTCCCCTCAGCCAGGCCAATAGGGTGACCTGAGACACACCTGAGGGAGCAGGACGCAGGGGGGAGGGGGGGGGGGAGGGGATGTATCTAGGGGAAACCTGGAACCAGGAAGAGGGGCGGGAGGGGGGGTGAGAACCGGGAAACCGCGGTAGGGGAAGAGACGGTAGTAGGGGACAAACCGACTCACCCAACGACAAAACGTGGGAGGGCAGGATGCGGCGAGTGGCTGGGTGGAAAAACTGCCAATCCGGCGCCTCGACAGGAAAGCCAAGGAAGACACAGCGAATGGTGTGAGGAGAGAGCTTGCCCGCGGTAGGATCGCGAAAAAGGGCAAGCGAACCCCAGACCCAAAATGCCGACGCATCGACAACCTTCCCCATCCAAAAGAGGGTAGGCGAGGTCTCTGGCTTGGAGACACGGGGCCAGAGGTCGAGCTGATGCGCGGCCTATTGGGCCGCAAACGGCCACAAAAATGGGCCGCAATTGCATGGATCATGGAGGTGCGAGCAACCTCCATGATCAAGCCAATGCAGCGCATAGTGATCCCATTCTAGCGTGGAGAGGCCAGAAGCGTGAAAGAGTGGGTGATGGCCTCCTTACGACAAAATTCCTCAAGGAGATCATAGGCAAACTCGCCACCATGGCCCGAGTGCACACGGAGCACCGGGAGGTCCTGCCGGAACCGTGTGCTCAGCTGGCAAGGAACAGCACGGATTGAAGGGATCAGAACAACACAGACGTCGCCCTTATGATCAAAGGGAATCCCATGGTGTAGCGTGTGAAAACGTTGATGACCAGCAGAAAGTAGTGCTTCTGGCGCGGCCCACTGACGGGGGCGGGGCCCCACACGTCCATGTGGAGTGTCTGCAGAGGAAACGAGGAGAAGTGAGGGGCAGTGCGCTGCCACCCCTCGACGCAGGGAGTGCACGACGGTGCAAGCGACGGTGGGAACGGGGGGAGGGACCGCGGGAGCCCAGAGATAGGGCAACGCGAGTACATGCGACGGAGACACTGAAGAGAGGGGTGACCAAGACGGTGGTGCCAGAGGAGAGATGTGCGTGAGTAACCGACACGAGCAAGACGCCGCTTCCTGACTTGACGCAGCCACCTGAGCAGACTCAGTTTGCAGTATGTACAGTCTAGACCCAGGTCTCCATGTGAACGTGGTAAGGTGGTCTCCAGTGTCTGTGTCCATACAAATCGCCACGCACTCGCCCCCAGGAGTGGTGGTGGTGACCATCAGATCCTGGAGGTGAGCGGTACTCACCAAATTCGTAGGGAACGACGGGAGGTGGAAACCTATGAGGGAGCTAGAGGGGGATGCTGGACACGGGAGAACAATGGAGCCACGTGCAACTACTGGTCTTGACGAGGGGTTGGCCAGGGTGACAGGGACGGGTGTCGGGAGCGGTGTGACTGCGGTGCAATCGTGGAAGAAGCACCAAGACGCACCGTAATCCAGTGTGAACGTGTGCAAAACCCCCGCATGAACTTCACCTGTGCTAGCCAGCTCACCAGCACCTACACTAGCAGTCTCTTCACCACCAAACGCAGCTCCCTGAATCGCCGTACCTGGGCCTCCACCTCGACTGCCACCCGAGCCCCCACCGCCACTCCCGCCACCCCCACTACCTCCACCACCCCCGCCACCCCCACCGCCACCTCCACCACCCCGGCCACCCCCACTGCTACTGCCACCACCACCACCACCCCCACCGCTCCCAGCCCTAGTACGCGCACCCCTGCCGCGGTGCCTCTTGCTAGGAACATTCGCAGCACCGACCTTCGCAGCACCAAGGAAGTCAACAGCAATAGTAGAGGCAACAGAAGGCCGGAGAAGGGAAGGGAAGCACCCCCCAAGGAAAGAGGGGCTGGAAGAACCACGGGAGGGCAGCTACAACGCGGGCACTGGTCTCGGCCTTGAGGAGACGGAGACAAGGGTGAGCTTAGTGGGGTCTAGGGAGAGGAAGTGGTCTCGTACGATGCGAAGAGAGTCAGGGAGGTGGGCGTGAGGAAGTAGAGAGTGAGATACATGAGGGGCTGGTTCTCAACTAGAAACTCTGGCTTGAGAGCAGCACGGTAGCGGGTGTCAAGGGAGCACAGGTGAGTCATGAGGTCGGCTACACTGGTGAAGTCAGACAGCTCAGGGAAGAGAAACGGCAGCGCAAGACGGCCTAGGGTGACAGATGAGGGGAAGGAGTAGAGCCAAACCATTGTTTCGTAGAGAGCCAGGGCCGACGTCACCTGGCGAAAATGGGCCCTTTGATCGAGCAAGATGTGAGCGCGGACTGCAAGCTGGGCGGTGGCGTCGCGTGCCCTCCACGGCGTGCAGTCAATGCGGTCAGCCTGATACTGCTGCTGCACCTCCTCCCCAGCGTCAGCAGCAGGCTCAGTTGAAGCCTTACGGGGCTTAGGGGACTCCGATGTGTGCTCGAACAGGGAGACGCCGTCCCTAGTGACACTCTGGAGGTAAAGGTGCAGGTCCTCTAGCCAGGACTCGAACTCAATAGGGCGCCCCTCTGCGTCAAATGCTAGTACGTGATGGCGGCTTGGGTTGACGCGACAGAACGGGCGGCATCGAAGGCGGGCAGCAGGCACCGTGGCGTCAACGGGGCCAGCGGCGCGGTGCCAGCTCGGGCGGTAGCGTGAGCGGCAGCGCGGGCGGCAGCGCGGGCAGGCAGGAGTGTGCAGGACAGCGCGGGTGGCGTGCAGGCGGCAGCACGCGGTGCAGTGCGGGTGGCAGGCGGCAACGCGGGCTGCGTCGCGTCAGCGCACGGGGGAACACGGATGGCAGGTGGCAGTGCGAGGAGCAGCGTGTGGGGCAGCGCGGGCGGCGGCGCGGGCTGCAGTGTGGCAGTGCGTGGGGCAGCGCGGGCAGCGTCGCATCTGCGCACTGGGCAGCGCAGCAGCACGGGCGGTAGCACTGCAGCATAACACAAACAGCAGCGCAGCGGGGCAACGCAGGGTAGTGCGTGCGGGGCAGTGCGGTAACACGGGGCAGCGCGTGCAGGGCAGCGCAGGGCAGTGCGGCGTGCAGGGGGCAGCGTGTTCAGCAGCTACAAAGTAGTGGCAGAAGCGCGACAGTAGAGTAGTAGGGCAGTGCACGCGCAGAGGCAGCAAAGCAGTCGGAACGAACCTATTCTATGATACTATGTAAAATTGTGAAAGAGTGGAAGGATCAAACTAAGCAGCATGGGAGATATAGGTATGAACCCTAAAAGGGTTGTACCCCCTACAGTATGCCTCACTATAGCTTACAACACAAATATAACATTTGACTTGTTCGCATAGGGTTAATGTAGCGGAAGTGAGTGACCCCGGATTAGAATGAATTTAGAATGACTGAACTGATTATAACAAAAGCATACATAGGTTTATATATAAAATACAGGGAATACGAAACGACCTAGTCTAGCCATGTACCCTAAGAGGTACATCCCTTTATTGCAGCAAAACACCGTAAACCTAAAAATAGCCATATGATGCTTTTAGAGTTTAATCTTAATCAAGTATTGCAGCGGAAGTGTCTGGATTTCTGTACTAGTTGAATGTGAGAACAAGAATTGATAATAAAGAAAGAGTACAAAGACTATATAGTATAGCAAAGTACATATTTCGTAATGTAGCCATTCATGAACTGGACTATTTATCGAGTCGACTATTGAAGCGATACTTTCTTGTGTCACGCGAGCAGTCACGAGACTGTTCGCAAAACTGCATGTTGTCAGAATCCCAGTCACTAGACCACTGGGATAAAAGGGCTTGTTCCAAATGCGGGTCAGTGCGCCCAAACCCCCCTAGGCTAACATGCCTGTAACCTCCCTATGATCAATTGGGGATCTCCAGTGCAGGGGTGCACTACTGCAGGTGTCCTCCCTTCCTCCTTTCACCCCCCAGCCCTTTTCACTGCTTTGCTTCAATGTCTATCAACATTTCGTCCATTACTCATTTCGCATCCATCGCTGTGAAGCGGCTAAACTCCTTCACAGCAGCAACTAACCTCCTTCACAGCAGCAGCTAACCCCTTCACAGCAGCAGCTAAATCCATCACCCCTTGAAGCCGCTCCTTCACCCCTCCACTGCAGCCACTCCTTCACCCCTTTGCCCCATTTTTTCAGCAGCCAACTCCCTTCACCATTCCACTATGTTTTTTTGGGTTGCGAAGCAACCTATTCTTAAAATAGGCTAGTGGAGAAGTGTCGAGAGTATGAGAAGAAGATACAAAGTGTCGACCTAATCAAAGTGTTGTACCCTTTAAAGGGCAACTCACTGCAGCCTAGAATCACTAACTATATCTAAACGATATAGAACATTTGACACACCCCCATAGCCTAAGTGAGGGGCATCAAAGCAAGCAAGGCAAACAAACGGTCACAAGACCCGTCAAGAGAAGCAACAAGACAAACTCGGGGTGGATCTCAAGATCACCACGCATTCCGAGTACAGGCAAAATGGCCACAAGGCCAGTTCAAGAGTTCACAAATATATATAGATGCAACGACAAGCAGAGCAAAGCCACTACAGGTGAGCACTAGTGTCAACAAGCCCTAACTGCACACAGAACCTGTGGTGACGAAGGCCTTGGTGAAAATGTCAGCATTATTGCCCTCTGAGGGCACGAAGTCCAGGCGCGCCTGGCCGCGACGCTGCAGCTCTCGCAGGAGGAAGTACCTCACGTCAATATGCTTCACCCTACTCTCCAGTCGAGGCTCGCGACACAAGAGAATCATGGCCTTGTTGTCAGCGAACAAGGTCAGAGCAGAACGAGGCCGCTCACCAAGGTCAGTGAGCAAGAAGGTCAACCAGCGCAGCTCCTACGCAGCCATAGCACCGGCGTAAATCTCTGCCTCGGCACTGGACGTAGCCACGGACGACGACTGTGTAGACCTCCACGACACAGCTCCAGCTCCCAAGCTGAAGCAGTAACCCTGGGTCGAGCGCTGAGTCTCCACGTCGTCAGCGTAGGAAGAGTCGCAGTGACCGGTCAGCACAACTGGCTCTCTCCCACCAAGCACAAGTCCCATGCCTGATGTAGTCGCTAGGTACTTCGCCACCCTCACAGCAGCCGTCCAGTGAACGGGACGGTGTCTCCCAGTCGCAACAAAGCGAGAGAGGACGCTGAGGGGAAAGGCGAGGTCCGGACGCGTACAAGTCATCAGGTACATGAGGCAGCCCACAAGCTCTGCGTAGGGACCACTAGACTCAAAGGGCTCGTCGGGAAAGGGGCCAGTGAGACGGTGGTCAAGGGCAAGAGGAGTGGACTGTGTGGTGGAGAACTGAAACCTGAATTGCCGAAGGACCTGCTGCACCATGTGTGACTGAGTCAGTGTGATGGTGCGAGCGGCTCTGTCCCTGGTGATCTGCAGGCCAAGGTAGCGCTGCAGCTCACCGAGGTCAGTGCACGTGTGTCTCTTCTGCAGTTCGGACTTCACCTCCGCCAGTGCTGCCCTGTCAGCTGTAGCAAACACCAGGTCGTCGACGTAGACCAGGATAAAGAAGGGAGTGGAGCTAGTGCGAACAAACATCGACGGGTCAGCAGAGGAGGGACGAAACCCTAGGTCACAAAGCGTGGAGCGCAGAGTGTCGTGCCACTCACGGGGCGACTGGCGGAGACCGTAGACTGGTCGCCTCAGGCTCCACTGGGTCCCAGGTGGGAAGGTGTCAGTGAAACCAGGAGGACGGCGCAGCCAGATCTCCTCGTGTAGGCGGCCCTGGAGGAAGGCAGTGGAGAAGTCAAGAGAGTGCAGCTCGAAGTCTCGCAGTGCTGCTACGTGGAGTAACACCCGAAGAGTAGTCATCTTCGGGGTCGGGGCGAAGGTCTGGAAGAAGTCAACTCCCTCATGCTGACTGAAGCCTCTAGCCACGTAACGCGCCTTGAACACAGGCCGTGATCCAGGCGGCCACTTCACCTTGAAGAACCACATGCCATCGACAACGTTTGCCCCGGGAGGGGGAACAGCGTCGACGTAGGTGCCTGTGGATCTCCAAGACGCCAACTCTGAGTCCATGGCCGCTTTCCACTGAGAGGCCCACTCCCCTAACACTGCCTCACGGTACGTGCGAGGAGTCGGTATGTCAAGGGCATCGGGGTCTCCCTCAGGGGAAAGTAGCATGGCACAGAGAGAGGGGGAAGCAGCTGCCAAGAACTCCAACTCAAACTGTCTGTCCTCGAGGACGTCACAGCCAAGGGCAAACCCACCCCCGGCGGCCTCAGGACGGGCAGGCGGTGCAGCGACGACACGGGTGCCAAAGTCAAGGCGGCGGGTGGATGCAAAGGCAGTGACAGCGGCAGTGAGAGCGGAGACAGACGACGGAGAGGCACGAGGGTCGGTGACAAGAGAGGCGAGAATATGCGAGACAACAGGACGCACTGTACGGTTGTAGTCAGTGATAGGGGTAGAAAGGGAGGCTGTAAGAGCCGACTCAGGAGGTGAAGGGAGAACAGACACAGGAGGAGCACGACGAGGACTGGAACGAAACAAGGCGGTGCGAAGGTCGGCAAGAGGAGACGAAGGACGAGCACGCGGGGGACAACGAGCGGTCCAGTCGTGCGGGACAACAGGAGGAGGTGACGGTGACTGAGGACGAGTGAAAACAGCCAGAGACGACTCCAGAGTAGGAAACGTAGGACCGTAAGCGGGCAGTGACTGCGGGCGGACAAGAGGAGGGGAGGGAAGACCAAGGGCCCGAAGGCCACTCACTGGTGTGACCACGGGCTGCGGTGGCTGCTGCTGCTGCGGCTGCTGCTGCCGCTGCTGCTGCTGCTGCTGCTGCCGTTGCTACTCCAGCAGGTCCAACTGCCGCAGCTCCTGCCGCTCCCGCTCCAACCGCTCCTGCTCCTCGCGCGCACACCGGCAGGCCGCCTAGAAACGCGTGTCGTGGCGGTGGGGAGGCAGAGTGCCCTCCGCACACGTAGTGCCCCCAGCTCCAGTCTCCTCAGAACTAGCACCCCCAGTACCAGTGTTCCCAGAGGGGGTACCACCAGGGTCAAGGTCCCCAGCTCCAGCGCCCCGTGTCCTAGCACCCCCAGTGCCAGGACCTCCAACCCCAGCACCCCCAGAGGTAGTACCTCCAGTGCCAGCACCTCTAGCTCCAGCAGCCGCAGAACTAGCACCTCCAGTGCCAGCACCTCCAACTCTAGCACCCCCAGAGCTAGTGCCACCTGCGCCAGCACCTCCAACTCCAGCACCCCTCGAACGAGAACCCCCAGACCGAGTACCTCCAGTGGCTGCACCTCCAGCTCCAGCACCACCTGAGTCCACAGTAACCATATGTCAATGAAGATGGATGGATGCATGCACACATACACACATGCCAGACACATACGCACACACAATAAAACCGACAACTTCAATATTATACAAGTCACATGAGTGGACACAAATTAACCAATTCTACAAGCCGCCACTACGACGGTATCTTCCAGCTTTCCACATTGTGACTTGATTTTTTTAATGCTAGAGCTAGCTGAAAATACAGAACAAATGGGGAAACGTGGAACAGGGGAGAGGTGAAGGATATTGATTAGAATTGAAGAACAAAACTGCGAAATACAACAAGTATCAAAGGTACCACCGTGAATCAGAAATTATGAAGAAAGAAGTTACGATGCAGCTACGATTGGAAGAAATGACGGACTACATCAAGATATATGTAGACGAGAAATATGGTTATAGTAAAAAACTTCTCTATTTTGCACCATCCTAGTTTGAAAGACTGTAAGAAAATGAAGGCCAAGATTACAAGGTCCCAGCGGGTTCTAACGAAAAAAACAAAAGGTTATGATTCGTTCTCTAGTACGCTCTCCCTCTCGCTTTCTCAATCATTTTCCTTGTCGCTACTTTTATGCTCTTTCCTTCTCTCTCCCTCTCTCTTTCGTAAGATGATGTTCAAACACAAACTCCATAGCAAGCTAGGTCAAAATGGTCCGCAAAATAAAAACGTTGAAGTGAATGTTAGGAGGAAGATAAGGAGAACAGAAAGAACAAAGTAACATAAATAGAAGAACGGAGGATACCATAAACAAGGCAAAAACGGCGAAAGAATACAATATAAAACAATGAACATCTTTCTAACTCTTCCTTGCTCGCTCATTCAAACAAAGTCGGTAAGGAAAGGAGAGGAGGCTGATGTGAGATATATTGTATTTATTTCTACCTTTACATGCATACTCTCCTTCACATTCTTCCAACTCTCTTCACGCTCTCTTCCCCACACACTCTTTATCTCTCTTATTCTGTGCCTCTCTGGTATTCTTCATCACGTAGTATTTTCGCACATGACTACTCTCTCACTCTCTTTCACAATATAAACTCACCTCTATCTGCCCTGTCCAACTGCCTCATCTTATTGGAGGACTTGTGGCTGGACTTTGTTAAACTGAACATCGTCGATGGCATGTGGATTTTCAGGGTGAAGCGGCCGCCAGGTTCTCCGCCTGTCTTCAAGGCTCGTTACGTTGCTAGAGGCTTCAGTCAGCGTCAGGGGGTCGACTTCTTCCAGACCTTCTCCCCCACCCCGAAGATGACCACTCTTCGGGTTCTGCTGCACGTTGCTGCTCAGCGTGACTACGAGCTTCACTCTCTTGACTTCAGCACAGCGTTCCTGCAGGGCAGCCTGCACGAGGAGATCTGGCTGCGCCGCCCACCTGGCTTTACTGGGTCGTTTCCCCCTGGTACCCAGTGGAGTCTCCGCCGGCCAGTCTACGGTCTCCGCCAGGCGCCACGTGAGTGGCACGACACACTGAGGACTACTCTTGCGGCTCTTGGGTTCGCGCCGTCTACTGCTGACCCGTCGCTGTTTCTGCGCACAGACACGTCGCTGCCGCCGTTCTACATCCTCGTGTACGTCGACGACTTGGTCTTTGCTACTGCTGACACTGAGGCACTCGCTCGTGTGAAGTCGGAGCTGCAGAAGAGACACACCTGCACTGACCTGGGTGAACTGCGTAGCTACCTTGGCTTGCAGATCACCCGGGACAGAGCTCGCCGCACCATCACCCTGACTCAGTCACACATGGTGCAGCAGGTCCTTCAGCGCTTCGGCTTCCAGTTCTCCTCACCACAAGCCACACCTCTGGCTACCAGCCACTCGCTCTCAGCTCCACCTTCGGACGAGTCCGTAGAGCCGAGTGGCCCGTACCCAGAGCTTGTAGGCTGCCTCATGTACCTGATGACTTGCACGCGACCTGACCTCGCGTACCCTCTTAGCATCCTTGCTCGTTACGTTGCGCCTGGGAGACACAAGCGAGAGCACTGGGAGGCTGCTAAGAGGGTGCTGCGTTACCTGTGCAGTACATCAGGCATGGGGCTGGTGCTTGGAGGACGCGACAGAGTTGTCCTCACTGGTCACTCGGACGCCTCTTGGGTGGACGACCTGGCTACGCAGCGGTCGTCACAGGGTTACACCTTCAGCCTTGGCTCAGGTTCTGTCTCGTGGCGGTCCACCCGCTCTTCCTCTGTTCTTGGCTCTAGTTGTGAGGCTGAGATCTACGCCACAGCCATGGCTGCACAGGAGTTACGCTGGCTCACCTACCTGCTGACTGACTTGGGAGAGCGGCCTAGTTCTCCTCCAGTTCTGTATGGTGACAACAAGGCGGCTCTTGCCTTGTGTCAGGAGCACAGACTGGAGCACAGGACGAAGCACATTGCTCTTCGCTACTTTCTTGCTCGAGAGCTTCAGCAGCGCGGTCAGCTTCGGCTTGTGTACGTGGACTCGAAGGCCAACACTGCTGATATCTTCACCAAGGCGCTCCCGCCTAGTGATCATCAGCGGCACTGTACTTCTTTAGGCCTTGTGTCCACGTTTCCTCACTTGCTCACTGCTTGACATTTTTTGTACTGTACTTTATATATATCTTGTTGCTTGCTTGCTAGGTTTTGATCACTGTGTTGCTTGTCTTGTACTATATCTAGCACTGCATGTGAACTGGCCTTGTGGCCTTTACTTGTGCTCGGAGTGTGGTGACGTTGTGATCCACCCTGGGCTTTGCTTTGCTTTGCTGGACTGGTCTTGTGACCCTTTGTTCTCCCCCACTTTGCCTATGGGGGTGTGTTAAACTGTATTATGCTTGTAGGCTGTAGTGGGGTAGCCAATATGGGGTACAACCCCAACTAGGGTTTCATATTTGTACCCAAACTTCTGCTAGTTCATCCATTCTTGCCTAGTGATTCTGACAGACTTGGCATCTGAGGAGGAGTTTCCATTCAGATTGACGTGTCAGAATGTTGTAATTGTCTAGCCTGCAGTGGGGTACTCTATAGCGAGTACAACCCAAATTAGGGTTTCCTATATGTACCTTGCATGCTGCTAGTACAACCCCTCTTCTCTGTTCTATCTTTCGTTCTAAAATCTCGATATGGTATCAGAGCGTTCACGCTCCTGGCCTGTGGGCCCCACTGCTGCTTCCGCTGCCCTACTCTGTGTCGCGCGCCCCGTGGCGCGCGACCTTCACATTTTCATCCCGCCGCGCGCTCGGGGCGTGCGGCGGTTTTCTCCCCGCCGTGCGCACCGAGGCGCACGGCGGTTTCCTACCGTGGGGGACGCCCGCGGCCCCCCGATCCCGTCGCCCGCGGCCCTCCGGTCCCGTCCCCCGCGGCCCCGCGATCCCGTCGCCCTGGGGAGCCGCACGCGACCCCCCGCGGCCCCGTTTTCCCGTCGTGCCGCCCTGGGGAGCCGCGCGCGACCCCCCGCGGCCCCGATTTCCCGTCGTGCCGCCCTGGGGAGCCGCGCGCGACCCCCCGCGGCCCCGATTTCCCGTCGTGCCGCCCTGGGGAGCCGCGCGCGACCCCCCCGCGGCCCCGATTTCCCGTCGCGCCGCCCTGGGGAGCCGCGCGCGGCCCCTCGCTGCCCCGTGGTCGCGTTCTGGGGGCCGAGCGCCGTCCCCCTCGCCGTCCCCCGCGCTCCTTCCCCCGTTCCGCCCGTTTTTAGGGTTTGGGGGTGCGGAGTGTGGGGGTGGCAGCTCTGGGGGTGCCGTGTGTGTGCGCCGTCCCCTGCTCCTCCTCCTCCTCCGTCTCCCACTGCTGCAGCTGCCGCTGAGGGGGGTGGATGTGTGGGAGCCGAGGTTTAGGGTTTAAGGGGGGTGCCGTGGAAGTGGAGCTAGGGTGTCAGCAGGGGGTGTGTGAGAGGGGCGTGGGACGGTCGGGGGAGGTTGCGTGGAAGTAGCCGTCGTGACGCCAGCAGCGCCAGTAGTCCGGATGCCCTCGCGCGTTTCGGTAGCCCAGCGAGCCTGCTTCGCCAGTTGCCTGTGGGTCAGTTGCTCCTGTGTGTGCTCGTCGTAGCCGCGGAGCCAGATACTCCCGTAGTCCGGTGCCCTCGTGCGCTCGGTAGCCACTGTGCACGCCGCTCCTGTTGCCCGTTGTGTCTGCAGCAGATCGCCCCTCACAGTCTCTCCTCCTCCTCACTTGCCCTCTGTGACTGCCTCTAGCTTTACTTGCATTTGTGGACTTGATCTATGACTGGTTATTTGCGCTGATTACACCCCACTTTGGCTATGGGGGTGTGTCAGAATGTTGTAATTGTCTAGCCTGCAGTGGGGTACTCTATAGCGAGTACAACCCAAATTAGGGTTTCCTATATGTACCTTGCATGCTGCTAGTACAACCCCTCTTCTCTGTTCTATCTTTCGTTCTACAATCTCGATATGACGAACATTCGTCACCTTCACACACTGTCAGTTGGAGTCATGAGGCTTCCAGACTTTTCCCCCTCCATTCTGCAAGCGCTGCGTCTCCTGTATCTACACTTGCCTGAATTGACAGAGCTCCCGGCAGCTATTGCAGAGCTCTAGAAGCTCATGAGGCTGAAGATAAATGCTCCAACGCTGAGTTCACTTTCTGATTCAATCGGAGCATTGTCTCGCATATGCAAGCTAATCCTGTCCACCTGCCCAGCTCTCACTCGCCTCCCTGATTCCCTCACGCAACTGTCCTTCCACCGCGTGCTTCGGGCTCACAATACCCGCATCACATCTCTTCCTCCCAACTTTGTGTAGCTGAGCAGATTGTAGACCCTAGATGTGCAGGGTTGCGAGCAGCTACAACCTTTTCTTGCAGATTTAATGCAGCTGGAACAGCTAGATAAATTGGATGTTAAGGATTGTGTGAACTTACAAGATAACTTTGGCTTGCTTCGCCTTGAGGGGGGGACTATGTGATATTGGCGAGGGATATATCGGAAGCGATTGATTTGATTTATACTTAATATGTGGATTGTTTATCCTTGTTGCAGCAACCCCATCATCTGCTCAACTACTACAAACATCAATGTGAAT